TTCATATGCAAAAGCCTCTGTGCACAGCTTGGGTGGGGCGGGGTCTCAGGGGATCAACAGGGAGGAGCAAACAGCTATGGCTGATCCTCAGCCCTGCCCTAAGAGATCCTGGGTCTCAGTGTCCCGCAGTAATCACTGCAAGCACCTCTGAGAGAAAGCTGCCCTTGAGTTCCGTCCACTGCCAGACAGTCCAGTTTCTCCTCGTATGAGTCTGGGTCCCCAGAGACTCGCCCATAACTTGAGTTCAGGGCCATCAGGAGCTTGTGTCTCCCTCCCAATTGAAAAAGACCACCGCGTCCTCAGTTGCCAGCCCTTTCCACGTGCGCCTCCGTACCTCTGCACTTTACTTCTGCACCTCCTCTGAGTCTCAGTGTGCTTTTCTCTTTCCTTCTAGTTGTAGAATTTCCACTCAGCCAGCCTTCCTGTGGTTCTGGATGATGTCTGTTTTGTCTTTTAGTTGTATTTTTGAAGTGGTTGTGCGAGGCAGCAATTTCCGGTGTTTACCTATGCTGCCATCTTGGTTTCTCCAAGGACACATTTGTAATACCTTAACCAATAAAGAAATTAAAGATTAAAAAAATAAAAATGGAACTACCTTATACCCCAGCAAGTCCACTTCTGGGAATTTATCTGAAGAACCTTGAAACTCTAATCTGAAAGAATATATACATCCCTATTGATACCGGACAACAAATGGGCCCATGCTTCCTGTCACTACTTGAGCCAATTAAGCAGAGACAGGGTTGAATCATGTATGAGCATTTATTCCAATACTGCTGGCAGTGTGAGAGAACAGCAGGTCATCCACAAAACTCTGCTCTGCCTCTCCCCATAATCCAGCTGCCTATATTGGGTAGAATGACAAATATTACATGGGGAAGTAGGCAAAAGGAATAAGAATTGGTAAAATGGCTATAGATTATAGGCAATGCGGCCTGGGGTGGCTAGGGGTTGCAAAGGGCAAGTGCCTCCAAGGACTCCATTGTTTCAAAGACAAGGTTGTTAATCTTTCCATGATGATAGGCAGTTCTCATATAAGGTGAATGGACTGCATTCGGAGGTTTCAGCTCCCAGGTCCCAGAGCTTACAACTCCCAGCCAGGTCAGAATGTGGTTTCTCTAATCAGATCAGATCACGATTAACAGAGCATGATTAATATTTCTTATAACTATGGCTAGTACCCACTATTCTATTTCTGCCTCTAATATTCCCCACTGCTATTTCTATCATCTCATATCTATGAAATTAGTTTTAGGTGAAAAGTCTCATCCTGCTGGATTGCATTTGCTTCTGCCTTGAAAGCCGTTTGTGAGGATGGAATACAGCGAATGCAGGATCAAAAAAGAGGAATACATTGAATATAGCATGTGAGAAATGCTCACCTGTCTGAATTCAAAAGTATGGCGAAAATGAGACTTTTAATATGTTTTCAAGAGCAGGTGTCTGTCCAGTTGCACCGGCACACCTGAAGTACCGAGCACAGCCTATTTATCCAGTCCCTCCTCCGGCTCCTCATTGGCTGAGTATTATGGAGTCACCTGTTTCCTCATACGTCACCTAGGTCTTATTGTCTCCCATTGGGCCATTTAAAAAAATTGGGCTGAAGCCTTTCTAGTTGTCCCCACCTCCCCCTGTCTAGTTGAGGCAGGCACCTCAGGGGTTCCCACCATGATGCTGGCTCATGTACACAGTTCTTTGTTCTTATATGCTCTTCTCTCCTCCCTACATTCTGTTTGCCCTGGGGAAATTCAGTAACCATTTTCATTAAAAGTTGACTATGCTGGAGATGGATCACAGAGGCCTATTTCCTACACAACAGCAAGCAATCAGACTACAAAAATAAACATGAGAAAAATTAAAAAGATTTCCTACAAAAAGAATTCTAACCTCCTGGGTAGCTGGGAGGTTAACTTGGATAAGTCAAATCCAAAAAATCCTTCTCATTATTTTACCTGGGAGTTGGTTTCCCTAATTTGTTGAATGTTGTTTTATATCAATTGAGAATTGTTAGAAAGATTAAAACAGCACATTCCTTTGAATTCCTCACTACCGTGGTTATGCCCCAACAGCAAATAATCTATTGCTGCCAGTTCTAGAGAATTGACTCCCTGACTTGGTTCAGCTCTTGATTATCCCCTGTATAGCCCTGGAGGTGGCATTCATGGCTTTTACCATGCTACAAGCCAGCCAGGTCACTTCTACATGAAGGGAGCCTATCATTACTGGCATGACAAAGATGGTGAAGGCAATATATTCAGAAGGGCTCCACAGGTGGGGGTTGTCATTGCAGTCTGGTGCCAAGAGAAGGTCTCTTTTGGTTCAGACCCTGTGATATTTCTGGGGCATAAAGATAGTCAGTTGTTCTAAGGAACAAAGAG